CTGTGCATGTGTATGACCAGGAGGAGGGACCACCTGGTTATGTCTGGCAGCTCCCACAGCCAGCCGAGCCGGGGTGCGTGTGTGAGCCCCAGGAGCTGGGGAGAGCCCAGGCACGTGGGCTGCGTGCGAGCCGGGTGTGGGTCTCTGAGCAGGGGCCATGCCCACACTGCTGCCCATGCTGGGGCAGGCTGAGGAGGAAGGTGGGAATACACAGGCAGCAGCAAAATCGAGGCACACGCAGCCCTGTCCCCATTCCCTGCAGGCAGCAGCAGCACTCAGCTCCACCACCACCTTCCCAGGCACCCGCTGCCAGTGGAACAGGGCGGCAGACGCTGGCTTTGGAATTTGGTGCAGAAACCACCACCCCACCTGCCCACTGACCCTAGGCTGTGTGTTTTGGTGCTGCCCAGACACCCGGAGTGGTTTCCCCATCGCTGGCAGCAAGCAGGGAGGGTGGCATGGCCACCGCACGAGTGCGTGCCGGTGCCTGCAGCGGGGCACAGGGCACGCACGGGCCTGCGCGGGTGCAGAGTGGGACAGGGTGCTGCGGGTGCCCCGGGCACTGCCCCACTGGCAGCTGCGTGGGCAGGACGGGAGATAAATGGGAGTTTGGCGTAAACAGCCCCAGCTGCCAGCAGCACTGGAGCGGCACTTAAAGGCGCAGGCTCTGGCCTGGCTCCACTGCCTGCTCCTGCCCTCCCTTCCCACTCTGCCTTCCCTCCCTCCCTGCTTGGCCCTTCCCTCCTTCCTTGCCTGCCCCTTCCTTTCCCTCCTGCTCTTGTCCCCCCTGCCTACCCCAGAGCAGCTGCCCTTCCCACAGAGGGGTCCTGTCCTTGCTGTGTGCCATCACACCGTGGTGTTGGCACTGCACTCCCACAGCCATGTACAGGTGACGGCTCAGACCGCAGAGTCCCCCAGGGTGCCGTGGGGTGCCATGGGGAAGGGGGCCATGTCTGCAAGGGGAGTGCCTGCTCCCACCCCACACAGGGTGACATACCTGGCTGACTCCTGTCTGTCTGTGGCACTTCCCGGGCAAAGGGTGCTGATAAGGCCGGGGTGGAGCTTTGGGGCTGTCCCGGGCCTGGGAAGGAACGTCGGGCTTCGTCAGGCACAGCAGGAGCAACAAGAACAGGAAGGAAGCAAGGCCAAGGGGGCCAGCGGGGTACCCCACAGCCCCAGCCCCTGAACACCAGCCAGGTACAGCCCAAGAGCCGGCACTGTCCAGCAACGCTGAACAGGCAGAGTGTGCGAGTGTGGGCACAGTTTTTCCAGGAATGTGGGCACAGCCACTCAAGGAGCATGGCTGCAGTTGTCCGGGGAGTGTGGGGAGTGCTCCTCCTATGCAGGGGGCTCACAGCGTGTCCCACTAGTGGGGTGCCAGGGTTGGGACTGGCCAAGCAGGGCATGGGGAGTGGTGGGAAGGGCAGCGGTGGGCACCCCAACCCCAGGAGAGCTGTCTGCTGCAGGGTAGCCCCCAACCTCCAGTCGTCTGTCCCCCTGTCACCCCGTTGCCATGGCGATATGAGGAGCTGTAATTAATAACAGTTGCGTGGGAGCTGCTGGCCGGGCGGGCAGCACTCCCGGGGGTGTGGGGGCTGCACATCGTCCCCAGACCTTGGCCCGGAACAAAGCCCACCGAGGGCCCGGGCAAAGGGTCCTGCCCAGCAGTGCCTGCTCGGCAGCGTGGCCACACCAGGACCCCCGGGACGGGCACAGGGGATGGCAAAGGATGTGTCCCCTCTGCCGGGTGCTGCCTGTTGGGACACCGGTACCAGCCAGTTCTGCCCGTGGCAGGGCTGGCACAGGCACCCGTGGGACCCCACTGTTCCCGAGGGAGGGCAGGGAGCGCTGGGCTGTGCCAGGCAGAGCCCTCAGCCCCAGCAGAGCGGCCATGGGGCACAGCCTGAGCGGAGGGGCTGGGGGGGCTCTGGCAGCAGCCGTGGGGCCGAGCTGTTCCCAGGGCAGACACCCCCAGCCAGTCCCTCCCGGGCCATCCCCGGGGTCCTGGGTCCGCCGGTGATGGAGGGAGGTGCGGGGAGTGGCGGGGACAAAGCCCCGTCCCCTCCGGACCGTGACGGCCGCGGGGCGGGGACCAGGGCCCGGT